ACATTCGGATAGAGAGAGGAGACGACCTTCATCGGAGACCGTGACGGGTCGTGTTGTGCGTATTCTTTCTTTGTCTCGACTAGCATGCGCTCATTTTCGCCTTACAGTCATTCAGGTTGCCGCTCTCGACATGTCTTGTAAGCGGGCAATAAACGGGAGAAAGACCATGATGCTGGTGCGCTTTGTCGTCCGGAGATTGTCTAAAATATGTGCTTATTTCTATTCTAAGCAGGTATGATTCGAAAGCGTTGGCACCGACATCGTAGTCGCCGCAAACGAACCCAAAGTTATTGTGTCCGCCAACTTGATTCCCGCCTCGATGGAGCCTGCTTGTGTCGGACTCCACCTGCGGAAGACCCGTCTTTTAAGGAATGAAAAGAATACTCGCGATCGCTCGACTTCTCTCGAATGGACCTACCGCATTCTACACCCCTTCTGCGACATCTTCCTGCATATTCCCATCTATAAAAGCTCCATCTGTGATTGCTCGAGCCTTTTCACAGTCGGAGCTCGCTCCTCGACACTTTGTCATCTCATGATTTGGGCCCACTGTCACGTTTATCGCACCCGCAGGACAAGAGTTTGTGGTGTCGCCCCTACGACACCTACTTCTCTATGAACCATATCTCGTGGCGCAAAAGAAATATATCGAGCCACCCAATTCTTTCTCGGCGCCGTTACGAGCGGGAAGGTTGTCGTTGACACCGTTTTCGACGACGCCGATATCCACAACCGGAATCGACCTGCTTTTTATTAAGTGCCCCATATCGTCACTTGCGAGCACGTACTCCAGTATTCTCTGGCCGTCCGAGTCGCCTGCCCCGTAGTTGTACGCTCAAACTTTGGATTGACATGTTTACCAGACGAGTGTCTTGAGCGTGGCAGAAATACACCATTCACCATTCTCGTATCCTTCCTCTCGCTTTCTTCCGCCTGTACGCTTTCAATTGGATTACGCGCGGGTGTCATCGGCTGAGCGCCACCCAAAGAGTGTTTTGCGAGGCATCTGCTATATCAAGTGTGTCGTTACTTGCCCAGGCCGTTATCATTCCTAACTGGTAATCATGACTCTGTTTTGATACTCGCCACATATACAGTACTCGTACGCACACACGCATTTAATTGCAAAGCCGTTGTATATTCCCTCTAGGTACAAGCACTAGGTACTCAAGTATACTAAGCCTGGGACATTGCTCATCTAGTGGAAGAGCGAGACAGAGACTCTGTTTTCTTCGACCTTTGGAGACCGTGACGTAAGTTCCGGAACCACTCCAGCATTCCTTCCAGTGTTGGATGGCTAACCCTAGTTGTGGTGGGTATATATTCGCCATTATTGTGCTCTTCGCTCGCAGCGCTCAGGCGAGTTTCAGTTCCCATTCCAATCGACCCTTGTGAATTATATCTGCCTAGTCGCTGTTGTGAGCGAGATTGTGGTGGCAGAGGCCGGAGCGGAGGACTACCCCAAAAGTCAGCAGGCCCGATACTGGATGGATCAACGAAGATGCCTGCATACCTCGACCTCCTGAGTTTCTCGGGAGGTAATCTGTGCCAGGCCCGGGTCCCATCCCCCGGCGGGCTGAGAGGACGGCATAAGCGGGCGAAACTTGGGATGGCGCTGCAATACACATACCTTGTTTCTGGTGGGAGCGAGTCCCGCACAAATTTCAGTCCGTGCCAAGCCTTGGGACTTGTAGGCGAAGGATGAAGTTGCTCTGCCACGCCGGCGTACTCGGACGTGGGAGCAGAGTGGGGGTCCGCGTCAGAGATGCTGGCACGATGTGGCGTCGGCAATTGAATTTGACTACTAGAAAGCCAGTCCTCCACACGTCCACCCCTCCCTGTGATTATAGCGCTATCAGTGTCACGATGAGAAACACCCTGTTGTAGCTCAAAGCCAGCAGCGCCGGTACCGGCAGCATGGTGGATGTGTTGGTGGGTAGTATTGTTAACACGTTCGACTTCCCGAGGAACAGGCATAGGGTACCTCTTAGCCACAGGCCTTTTCCCAGCTGAGGACTTCCGACTCGGTCCATTGATGTGCGTAGAGCTACTCGACATGACTCCGACTCGGTGGTGGGTGAGGAAAGACGGAATATGATGTCTGCTTTTATAGTCCTTCGGGCCGCGTGTGGCACTTCCGTTGGACCCACAAGTGGGGCAGGGTGACTAGGTACAAGTCATCTCGGCGTGGAATCTTGATTGTGGGTGGCGGACAAATATGAGGAATGGACAGCTTGACTCGTTACTCGTGAGATCTTGAGAAGGAGACTAGAAACTCGTAGAAGTTTTTCGGCGTCTGTAAATTGTCTGCGAAGTCCAAGATTGACTGCAGACGCGAGCTAGCTCGATAGCGATCATCTTTTGAGTTGCAGTCCGTGTGTCTTGTCGAGCCGCCCATACCAGTAGTACGCGTTTTGTGGAGTTACAAGGAGCAAGTGGAAGAAGACCGCGGCGCCTGTGACATAACACCGCCTCTTCGATTGTCTTTCCATTCCCCACACGCACTCGGTGCTGGTGGCAAGAAGCCTTTCGAGAAACAACGATCTAACAACGGCGAGCGTCGCATCGTGGGTCCCGGTGACGATGCGGATCAAACTGGTCCTCTTCTTACCTTTACCGTCACCACCATTACCATCCGCCTCCCTCCCTCCGAGTCCGCTTGCGGTGCGCCACACTCACAGCCCGCGGCATGCCCGTCGTATCACAACTTGGAATCAAAGGTCGGGGGCCGATAGCTGGACGGGGATAGACGAAGAAACGTGCGCTTTTATTCGTCTTGGCTGGTATTCGCGGCTGACTTCTGGCGTAGCATCTTGTACCCGCAGCTCTACGCACGGGTTTTCCTGTCATTACAAGGGCTTGCACGCGTGACGACGGCTGGGCAACTCCGCCACAGCATGGGCAAACCCCCCTACAACGAGAGGACGAAGGAGCCTGCTGCATGGAAGTTTGCAGGGACTGTCGTGGGGCGGGACTGTAAAGGGGGAAGTGGCTTTGGGGCCTGCAGATAACGAGGAGGTCCCGATTCAGGTGCCTAAATAGCAGCGCTCTCTTCGCTTGACGTTGCTCACTCTTCCCGCCACAGAGGCCAGCTCGCAGAAACTCTTTGCTCTTGCCGATTTTCTTCCCCACCACCACCACGACGACCCCGAATGTATCTGCAAGCCCAACTACTGTGACGACCAAGGAGTAACTTTACCCGTGCAGGCGGGTCTACCCACCCTCGGCAGTCAGCAACGGGTACGAGTGTAGCTTGTCGCTGGAGGGATAAAGCGCGTCATGCGGTATGTCAGCTATCTCTATCTTCTCCCCAACTTCTTTTCTGACTTTGGTCACATATTCAGTACCTATGGCTTTTCAAGCAGACATCCGAAGTCGACATCGCTGCAACTTGAGAGGGGGTAATGCTGGTGAGTCAAATATTCGCGCCTGTGTGCCAAACAACTCATATTCCTCTCTCAAAGCCGACAACGGGTTTTCACCTGCTCCAGAATCTCCGTGTCAACCTTCCTTTCCCCTTCCTCCTTCCGTCGCCGCCTCCGTTGAAGCTTCCCGCTCACTGGAAATGGTACTGCCCATCCCGGCCAATGTCGCTCGCGCATAACTCTGTGCACAGACATGCTCCGACAGACAATGAATGGGCTTCACAGCCATACTCTTCGCCACCAAATGCTTGCCTTTCTCAACTCCGCTTTCCCTGTGTGGAGGTTCCACACGGGACACACGTTCTGCGGCCCTTTACGATTCATTCGCGCGAACAAGACCGGCGCGTCGTCGATTTCGTCCCCGGCCTTTTCCCCCGCGCTGGCGGTCACGTGCGACTCATCCGAGTCACTCCTCTGAAGACGGCGATAAAACTCTGCTACCTCCTTTCTTATGGCTCCATCGACCATATCTCATGCTGTACGACCGTCTACAGATGCTATATATGTCGTATCTCCTTGGCGCAGCGGGCAGAAGGCCTCTGGATAACGCGCTTTCGCTCGCAAATGGACTTTATCGTGTGCGTGGTCGCGGAATTTGGAACAGATGGTGGGACGATTGAATGTGTCTGACCGATGAGATGTCGATCTGTAGTCGCTGGCGGGTGGGTACCCTGTGGTTTTTGCGGGACAGGTGCGTGTTTTTGTCCATATTAGTCCTTCGAAGTAACTGAAAAGTCGTTTCAGCCTAATTTTGAATCATCCTTGTCAACTTGCCAACGAATGGGCGGGTATGGGCAGACACTTTGGCGGTTGTTGCTGCTGGACGAACAGCCAATGACGTGCGGATGGGTAGATAGCGGGTGTGGTTTTTACGAGCTTGTGTCCCGCTACTAGTAACAAGCATCTTCAGCCCTTTTCACTTGTGCGCAAGTCTCGCCGCAACATACCATCTATACAGCTAAGCTGCTCGAACTCCTACGGTCAACCCTTGAACATGAATAAGACAGATAGTTGCTGCAAACTTCAGTGCCTCCGATAAATTGACCAAAACCGGTCCAAATCATTGCTCCAGATATCGTTGGCACCAGCCGCCACCCAGGCCCATTTTCAAGTCGGCTCTCGACTCTCTGTGTCGTCAATGTCACGATTACGCCACTTCAGGAAAACATGTTGGCGAGACTCATTGTGGACGAGGGGGGGTCCGCGGAGTAGATTTGGAGTTGTGGATAGAGAGGAATGAGGTCGATGTGGTTTGGAAGCTCTTTTGCATGATGGGCTTGCTGCAGGTCAGTACTACTAGTCGGAAGTCCAGACCACGACGAAACAGATGGAGGCCTCACACTTGCTCGTCACCTTCAAGTTTACCTCTCCCGCGGAAATTTCATGCGAGGCCAATTGACTGGCGCCGCCATATACCTACTTACTTCATTTCTAGGCTAAGCGGTAAGGGAACAGACACGAAAAAACTGCTGAGGCAGGAGGTAAGCACCGACATAACGGCTGGCCGATTATATAGCGCACCCCGTTGCAAGAACCACCAGCTGAGGATCGGCAGGGTCCGTGCTCTATGTTGCGTCAGAACGGAGCAATGAGTGATACTGAAGAAGCAACCCAGAATGTTCCGCCCGCCATGCTCACTGTGTAGATCGTGAGTTCCATCAGTGATGTTGGGCAGGAGAAGCACATACCCCCTTGACAGTCAGGGCTCAGAGTGAAATTCTTGTTCGACGTCTTGCCTGCATCGAGCGCCGCCTGCGTGAGTGTGTAGGGAACTGCGGCCGACCACGCGTCGACAGCAAATTGGAGGAACAACGAGTTGTTATACGCCTTATACGCGACGACCGCTCCGTGTCCGAAGTTCCTGTACCCAATTCAGCCGCTGCGTATCACTGAAAGTTGCACACACAAGCCATTGTTGAGCTACAATTCAGCTCAGTCGTCAATTCGAGTCCACTACTAACAGCAGGGGAAGAACGCTAGAACGTCAACGTCAATCATCCTGCGGGACAACACAAGCCCTCCACATACCACATACAGCCCCGAGTAGTTCGCCGCCGTCACCGCGCTCGCCGCGCCAAAGTACCCTACCAGATCGACAGCGTACTGCGACCGGTTCGCGAGCTGGTCGAACTCGGCAAGCAGGGAATAAAGAGCGCCAGAAAAACCATAGGTGTCCACTAAACAGCGAGTGAGCCCCTCCGACAACCCAAGCACGCGCGGAAACGTTAACACACACCGAGATCGGGAAACATCGAGGTTGTGCTGTCCAGCTCCGAGACGGCCTGCGCGATGGCCCCTTGGGCGAGCCGAATGCGGTCCTCGAGCAAGGTGGTTACATTCGGCTTCTGTGAATTGGTGGGCCATGATTAATAAGACGCGAAAGGCCAATATAAGACACGCACCCGCCATGACGAGGCCTGCGGCTGCGAGGCCACCTGTGCCACCACAACCACGGCCACAAGAAGGGGAAGAGAACGCATAAGATGTGGGCAGTGTTGTCGTCTCTCTTAATGACCTCTGACGACAGTAGCAGGTGGCAGTTAGATGGAATCCCGCACTTGAGATCGGGATGACTCGCATGAGAAGAGGTGTTGCATGTGTGTGAAGTTGTTGCCCACCCGAAAGACCATTCGTATATGCTACTACAAGGTAACATATCAGTAAAGGAAAGTTCAGGAAAGGAAAGTAACGAGGGAAACAACATGCGTGGCATGAGCAAGAATCGAAGATCATATTTAAGGAAGGAAAAGTGAATCATAGGAATGGACGATGGGAAAGAATACGGTGAAGAGAAGGGGATGAGCGACGTCGCCGCGTCGAAATTGGGAAGGGGAATGTGGACAGAGAATATAATGACATGTAGAAAAGTCGAGGAGTTGGGTAAACAACGAAGGGCTGTTCGAGTCGTCTACAGACTGAGATCAATGGCAGACAAAGAACACAGACAGCACACGCACCGTTTGCCTTGCCCAGCTATATGGTGCTTCTCTTTCATCGTCTACCCCCACGCTTTGCCCTCGCGTTCTCCGTCGACCAGCGATAAGTCGTCGCTCCGGTGCTACATGAGTAAATGTAACCATGTCTGTGTAGCATGTATCATAAAAGCGACCTATAATCGCACGCAGAGGAGGTATCGAACCCGCTAGGGAGCCTCGTCCTCCATCATGTAGCACGGTGGGCCAATATCTGCCTTCGTCCCAGAAAGCAGCAGCGATGGACCGCGCAGAACGAAGTCGGTGCCCAAGCGCACTCGAAAACACCACAAGACATACTGTTGCATGGACCATTATGTGGACATGAAGATTTTTGAGTGGTCCCAGCTCGCAGTATGGATGCAAAGCCAATTCCGGTATAAGTATGGCCGTTGTCGAAAACGGCGTTGACAAGGCCCTTCTGGTTCATCGCGGCGCCCGAAAAGAATTGTATGGCACAAATGGCCTGTAAGGCACCACGATATCCACTCGATATAGGCGTAGGTCATGCACGAGGAGAGATTCAAAGTCGGATGTGGGCAGTGTGACGGTGACGCATGTGACTTGCGAAGAAGGGAACGAAAAGAGTGTCGTTGAAGCGGGTGTCTACTCCGCAAATGGCGGGAATAGCAAGAGCTGGCGCTTGAATAGATGTAGAGGAGCGAGAGACCGTCGTGAAAGGAGGGAGTATGGGGGCGTTGTGTGTGTGTGTGTGTGTGTGGTCGTTTGGCGATTGGAGTGGGCGAAAATAGTGGAGAAGCAGAGGCCTTCAGACAGGCCAGATGCCAAAGAAGACACAGGCAAGAGTGTAGACGGGGTAGAAGAGGTGCTGGTATAATGGGCGGGCGGACACGATAGCGGTCAGGTCGACGCTGTTACAGGCGGGCATGGTGCTAATGCTTTCCAGCCCGACTGAGCACGAAATGAGTGTACCATTCGTTGTCATAAGGATGATAAGACGCACCGACTCAAGCCGATTCATACAGAGCTCCTCTTCACCCTCCCCAGCTCAAGCGGCAACCCGTTTCAGAGTCGTTGTCGTGGGACTTGCGAGCGCTCCGAGCGGCACACTGCTCGCGGGGTAGGGTTTCTTCCGAGTTGTTGTTGTCCAACGTGGATTGAAGGGCATCTGCGACAAGAAAACGTTAACAATGGAGAGGACGACAAGAGTATCACCAGAGGCACGAGCCGGGGCACCCGGGCGCCAGATGCTTTACAAGCATGCGCTAAGCTTCCAGCGAGCTGTTGCGTGGCATCAGGCAAGTTTGGGGCTTTCTGGTGGCTGGGCTGCAAGGCTGCGTGGATGCAATGAGGTGGATTTGACGACTGCTGACGGGAAGTGGCCGTTGACAGCGCAAATTCCATAATAGGCAGGTACATTCGAATCATTTCCTTTTTGGGTTGCGTGACTTGCCGTCACAACTCTCATCACACAGCGTGAATGGCTTCAGATGGCTTGAATAATTGGCTGGAACAGGTTATGTCTTTGCTCCAGGAGTAAGAAAATGGACAAAGTGAAGTAGATTGTGTGTTTTGTTGGTGAATACATCATAACCATTACTTTATATCTTATCTCATCCACCACCAGCGCTTCTATATAGTAGTAGCGCTGAATGAGGTGCAGACTTGAATGGTGGTGGGTCTGTAAACAAGGGAAAATATCATTGTAGTCCACATAGGTGTGCGCTCAGCACGCGTCCTTCGTATAAGCAGAGTGGAGGCAAAGGCCAAGGCGTGACTTCCTTATATGGAAATGATTCGAGGCAATGTACCTGCCTATTATGGAATTTGCGCTGTCAACGGCCCCTTGGATAGGAACAAGATTACACGCTCACGCGTCTTCATTTCCCTTTGTCCTGCTCAAGAAGTACCGTGCAATGAGGCCAAAGTATGATGTGAATTCGATTTGGGGGGTCAAAGGTGAGCACCTTTTCTCTTTGAGGTTTCTTTTGCGCTCTCATCTTGCTCGTTCTCAATCTTTACAGTCCATGTCTTCAGGCAGCTTCAACCGCCATCTGCCAGCAGTCCAACGTCGTGACGATAGTCGCGAAACTCGCCGACAGGAGCCATATGCACGAGCTAGTAACGCTCGTGCTGCAAAGGGAGAGAGAGCTCCTCGACCACCCCCAACCGATCCCTTCCAAGCCAACGACTCTGCTGAGGTATCAAGCAGTCCAGGAGGGAAAAAGAGGAAGAAGAAAAAGAAGAAACAACCTATTGTAGATTCTGGTTTCTCCCTGCCGACACCGACAAACACTCAAGCCGGTCCGTCGAGTACTGCAGTGCCGACAGATTCGGAGAACTCAGGGTCTCATTCTCCTACTCCCATCGAACAAAGTCCAAGACTGCCAACATCTTTTCCTCCGCCATTTCCTCCCTTCCCTCCCTCTACCACTCCCGGGCCGACTCCTTATAATATTCCTATTCCAGCATCGAATCCTTCCACCCCTTCGCCACTGCCTCGTAAATTCCCCAGCTCAGGGCAGCGACATTCACCTACTCCTGCCTCTCCACATGTGTCACCGCCTCGGGGTGATCCCCAGCCCCAACCGCCAACACCTCCTCGACGTCGACGTTCACCCCCACGTCGATATTCGCCGACTCCAACTCCTCCCCCTTCCCCTCAAGATGATACTCGCATGCGCTCTCCATCACCTCCATTAGCACCGCCTCCTCGTTCTGCTGGCACAGGAAACTCAAGTAATATGAGGCCATCTCCCCGTCACTCTCCAACTCCGGGACCTTCACGACATCACTCTCCCCCTCGAGCTCGCTATTCTCCACGTCCAGGCCGTCGCTCACCACCTCGTTCGCCACCTCAACGTCCGCCTCCTCGGCGATCGCAGCCAAACACATCAAAGTCATCTTCGTGGGATCGCCGTGATGCAGAGAGAGAGGAGAGGAAGAAGAAACGGAAAGCCCGGGCAACAAGTCGGGAACCTGTTACGAAACGTTCGCATTCACGCAAGAACAAGTATCAAATCCCAACAAAAGGTTCGGGTGCCCTGTCGGAGAAGAATGTGAGCCTTCAGGTGTGTTTCTTACATTTTCTTTGGCTTATTATCTGACTTGTTTGCAGAAGGGCGCCACACTTCATTTCCAAATCCTCACAGGCATCCGAGGCCTCGTGGATGATATTTCTCCCCAGCCCACCCCCGCCGATCGCACCGCTTTTGCATCTCGCTTCACTGACAGCGAAGCCTGGCGAGCAAAACTGGCATCCTTGACTTACTCAGATGAGTGGGGTTTCGCTGCAGTTCAACAGATGCGGCATGATGATTTTGTGGCCAAGAGACGGGGTCAAATTGCATCTGCGATTGGCGCGATGGAGGATCCTCACCTGCATGTGATTTTTGGTGCGGTGGCAGAGGCGGGGCTATCACGTTTTGCTCCAGATCTGAAGGGCTCTCCTGAGAGTCTCTACAATCTGGTACACGAAGACTTGGCTATTGCAACATTCCAACGGGTTGCTGCGCATCATGCGTATGATGTCGACATTACTCATGTGCGGGACCGAAGCCTTATCCGCCGTCTCTATCGACACTTTTTCTATTATTCAATGCTCGACAAACTTGATACTGAAGAGCGGAAGCCGGGAGGGGTGGCGGAACGGAACGAGAAAACAAATATGTACAAGCGTCGTCGAGAGGTATGTTTTTTTTTCAATATTCTGGTAGCTATCAACCAATAAAAATTACAGGATTCTGCACGTTGCCAGCAATTCCTCCAAGACGATGCGTGGCCAGGAGACACACAAGCTATGTTCTCCTCGCCCGAGTGCGTGAGTGAAGATGAAGGACCAACCAACTGTTGAAGATAGTGAATAGGCGAACGGCGAGTCATCGCCCACGCGATTATGTCAGCGCGGATCAGCGCCATCACCGACGTACAGCGTGAATCATCCAGCACATTCCACTGACTCCGACATGACTCTTACACAGGTATGACTCAGTATTGGGAATAGTATAAATACTCTACATTCTGTACTACTCTAGATCGAATTCTACGCTCTGTTTTTCAACAGGTTATGGGCCCCGGCACCTCAGGACTGCCCCAGTAACGCTCTCATCATCTGCACCACCCTCCTCCGACGCTCGCTCGCTCCCACGCTGGACAACGCCGCGGAGAAGCCTTTTGGAACGCTGTTCCTCTACGGCAATGGGCTGGCTGTTGCAGCATGCACTCACTGGCAACAACGGACTCTCGATCACCTCTGGCTGGGCCAGCACGCACTCAGGCGTCGCCAGCAGACTCGACTCATCTTGCATCGGCACCTTGACTTACTCGGACTTATCGGCTACACAGCATCACGGATCTTACGGACATCATCGCATATTGTATCACAAGTCAAATCGACACAGCCTCGAGCTTCCGGCCCGACGAGGCGGAACGGAGGACAACGCAGCTACAGCCACACGGGAGGACCGCGATGGGCTACAGCAACACGCCGGGGACTACTCACAGAGAATGTCCCGCCAGCGCGACACACGGAACACGGCCGGGGACACAACAGGTCCTGCCAGCGCCACATCATCACGACAACCATCTGCTCCCGCCTGCCAGCAGCGACACGACTTCGCTCGAGGGGGAGAGATACAGGGAATCAACGACGAGCATCATTCGGATTGCGACCACGACACTACTACGGCCGGGGACTACCAACAGCGAATGTCCTGCCTGCGCTAATCTCGAAACAACACGGACGCCAAGGCTTGTTAGCCACGGCAAACACTTCCTCGGCACTCACACGCATCGGACTCACACGGAACGGACACCGACACGGCTCGCGCCTACTTACGACTGGCGGCCTGAGCACAACTACTTATCACTCGCATCAACAAGCTATCACAGCCGCATCAACAACGCGCGCTACACAGAGAAAGGGGGAGCACAACAACGACATCGACATCCTCTTTTGGGACAACCTATCGACAAGAACCTCTCACGAGGCGAGGTATTCCACTGCGCACCATCGGACAACGACACACACATTCCCACGCCAACGACGGCTCGACTCGCGTTCGAGGGGGAGTGTTGAAGATAGTGAATAGGCGAACGGCGAGTCATCGCCCACGCGATTATGTCAGCGCGGATCAGCGCCATCACCGACGTACAGCGTCGTGAATCATCCAGCACATTCCACTGACTCCGACATGACTCTTACACAGGTATGACTCAGTATTGGGAATAGTATAAATACTCTACATTCTGTACTACTCTAGATCGAATTCTACGCTCTGTTTTTCAACACCAACGATGGTACCTATATCATCATTCCTTTGCCTCTCCGCAGTGTCAAGGCAACAAAATTCAAGAGAAGTATCGACAAGCGCCTTGATGTAACAGCCACAGCAACTGGTTCCTTCCATCGACGCACACGGGTTCATGTTCCCAATCCACCAGCCTCAAAAGCACGAGGCACCATTCCGATGTCAGCTCCTGTCGACTGGTTTGACCCCGAGGAGTATAACAAGTTCAGTGTCCGTGTGCGTTATAGAATTTTTTGCAATGGTGTTGTACTCCCTGCTCTTAGGCATTGGGAACGTGATACCGATGGCTCTGGTGACCTCAGTGTTCCTGATGACTTCAAGACCATGGGCGCCGACGAATTCGATGAGCATTATGCGCCAGAGGTTCTTGCCAAGTACAACATTCCAACAGAGGAGGAGATCGACAATATTGAAGCAACTCATCAAATGCAGGACGAGGAGGAAGAGGACTATTACCAAGAGGATGACAGTTATATGGAGGAGGATTCTTGAGGGTTGAATAGTATCTGGTATGACTTATGATATATGCTTGTATGCCTATATGCTATGAAACACATGTCTTATGTCAAATGGCTGCTTTCTGAGGGAAAAAATCAGGGGTCATTGTCCAACTGTACGGGATTGTCGTTCAACCATGCAAGGGTAGGGTCATGACCGTATAGGGTTATTGTTCAACTGTACAGGGTTGTTGTTCAACCATGTAAGAGTTATAACCGTACAAGAATCAGATTATGACCACATAGGGGTTATTGTCCAACCATATGGGATTGTTGTTCAACTGTACGGGGTTATCCATTCAACCACACAGGGTTGTTGTTCAACTGTACAGGTCGTCTGACTGCATAAGAATCGTAACCGCACAAGGGTTGGATCATGACCACATTATGACTGCACAGGGGTCATCGTTGTCACGGATAAGACCCGGCCCGTCCGCTCCGGCACTGGTGTCGGGCCATCGCGGGCCCGTAGCACGCAGCATGTGACGACGGGGAACATGCGCCCCAGTAGGAGGAACGCACACGTGGGAAGCACGTGACCGAGAACGACGCGTCGAGCCGTCGCCGAGCCCAACTTCGACACAAGGGGACTGGGGAGGAGTGCTAGGAGGTTAGGAGTAGCGCCTGGCCCGCAAGGGATGTACGATTGTCCCCTCTGCGGCCAGAACAGGAGCAAGGAGGAGGAGGAGAGGCCAGGGTGTCCGATCACCCCATCGGGCCCGACACGACCCGACTCGAACCTCCGACCACCGACAACGGCAAGGGACCGAGTTCACGGGCCCTTTCGGTTTCGATCTACCCTGCCCGCCGTCCCTGCGGGCCCGACTATCCGTCTGTTCTGTTCCGGGCGCACGTTCTTAGGAGAGGTCCTTGCACGGCCCGACCCGCAGTCTGACAATCGTCCAACCATACGGGATTCAGGGTGGAATTATCTCTATGCAATATACCCGTGCCATGTCACATGCCAGGTTCCTGGAGAATCTTCCTGTAGATCCTGATGAATTACGTACATGGATACCAATCTGTGGACAGAACGACGGTCGCTTGGGCATCACATAGGTAATTGATGGACAGGTGTCTGATGCTGAGATGTGATGGACAGATGCCAAGGTGGGGTTTAATTTAATAGTGTTAATAAAATCTATTGAATAAACAAACATAAATATTTGAAAATATAATATAAATTTAAATATTGAATATAATAATATCAAGAAACCATATTCATTTCATAATAACATGAGTATTAATTAAGTACGACGTCCACGATTCAGGGCCCATGATACAACCATACAATTCCAGTTTAGCCCATATGCTCCAAGCTTAGGCTTATATACTGCCAGATGTGTAATAATATGTTGAGGCTCAATAATACAAAAATCCTCTGAGTTTGCTGCAGAGACAACAGTTGCCTGCAACCAAGGCCTAGAGTAGAAGGGCAAGTCTTCTATCAATGGAGATGTTATAGGAATATGCTTTTGAACCCATAAGAATGTTTGGACATGTCTCTGTAGAGGAATCTGCCAAATCTTCTGAATATACCCTGTATAAAGAATATTTGCATGTGGATCTTTGAACTGAATTCCACTATTGCCTTCATGTGAGGATTTGCAACTAAAAGTTTTGCCATCAAAATTAATTTGATGTGGTTGCAAGCTCTGATGGGGCAATACCAGTTGGCCTACAGTAGGAAGTGTTCCAATATTATGTAACCAAGAAATCCAATGGGTCTGTCCAATAGAGTGCAAGTAATTCAGGATTGCAAGATATTCCCACTGTTGCAGTTTAGTGCCTTTTTTCAGTAATTGAACTTCTTCCAAACTTGTAAGTGGCTTAAGAAAATTCAAATGGAGCTGTGGAGACTCAGGATAAAGGAGATGGGCTAAGGCTCCTAAAGAATTATCTGCTCCCTTGGCATCATTCAACTGACCCTCAAGTTGAATATGTCTAGAAATTTGTTGCAGCATTGTAAGCTCCATATCACCTAGTGAAATTAGTAATGTTATAGTCACTTCATTGCTAAAGCAGACCTACCTGCACGTCGGTTTGTACTAATACCTGCCAGGATACCATTGATACGTTCACCAAAAAATTCACTGAGGGCAGCAAGTGGCCCCCACCACTCTAACTGCTCATGATTGTGCATAGCAAAGTGAAAATTGGGTTTCACAGGGAAAAAATCAAAAAGCTCAGCAAGAGATTTACGATAATTCTGGAAGTGGTAGATATGTTCTGATGCCAGATTGTGTGAGGTCCTGAACAAAGAAACAATAGCAACACTTGCAACTAAATGATAAAAGTTCTCTAGTAACCTCTCTGCATTTTGGCCTTGTCTTGGGTCTCCCCAAATTTGTGGAATAACTAAAGGTAAGATAGTTGTAAACAAGATCAAAAGTTCCTGTGCCTTGAGTTTTCCATGTTTAGGATCACCAAGATTTTTAGGTGGATGGGGTTCATGAGTTGGTAGATATACTTGAGCAATGCAATCATGAATCAGGGCTAACTCTTCAGCTGAGAAATTGAATATATTTCCAGCAGTGAAATCAATATCATCATCACTTTCTGGTTTATCCTGTGCAAGACTATGAGAATATGCTGCAAGTTTTGGAGTTGGTGTTTCAGAGCCTGAAGATTCATCTAGTTCATTTTCTTTGTCAACCTCCATACTTGCAGTCTCTAAAGTCACATGGAGCTCAGACTCTGATGCTGTTGTCAGATCATCATCATCAGAAACTATAGCATCAGACCCTGTAAGCTCATCCATTGCTATCTTTGCAGCTAGCTTCTTGGCAAAATGCTCTGATCTTCCTATTCCTAAAACCTCTCGTAGATGATCTTGTGCAATACCCTCTAGGCTATTATGCATATATCCTAGCACAAGATGTTTCACTGGATCCCAGTTATTAAGACTATGTAATGGTGTCCATCAAACTCCTGTTGCTTTAGATTTGGCCTCTCTTCCAGAGGTAGATTTTATGGCTAGCCACTCTTGACCTTGCAGTAGTACTGTACTGCCATCCCTTTTAGACCAATTCCAGTATGCTACATCATCCATTTCTGAATGGTTCAACAGACAGTATGAGCAGAATTTAGTAGCATTATATGCCATATATCCAGCCACTTTGCGAATAGCTGCAAGGTCTGCAATCAATGCCAAGATGATAATTTGCACATAAAAGAGTC